TTTTCTTATTCAGCATAATTTATTCATCCTCATCTTGCATTCGCAGGCCTTCAAGGCATCTCATGGCTTTAGTTGCAAGCTTCTTGAGTGCGTGAAGGAAAAGGCTAGTGAAATGAACAGACATGGCGGCCTCATTATTGACGAGACGAAACTTTCTACACACCTGGACCTCAAGTTATCCATGGATATTGAAGGCTTCGTAAACCTTGAACAATTTACTGGAGCTCAGGACAAGCACACAAAGGCTGATGATGGCTTAGTCGTCATGTTTCAGCCTTTCGTGGGCAAATGACGCAGATAATTGGTAAATAATATTTATCAAAGTACTGTTATTTTCTGTAATTGCACTCACACTTGCAATATTTTTTTTTCTACAGGGGTCTTTGCTTCGAATGGAAATGTGAAGGCGCCAACGCTGACAAAGATAACTTTAAAAGCAGTTTCTCTCTGCGAGAAAGCTAATCTTTATGTGGACTACATCTGCACGGACGGCGCGTCATGGAACCGTGCCATGTGGCACAACATGGGTGTTCATGAAAATGCTAAACATGCACGATGTAAGGTTACACATCCATGCGACGACAAGCGCTTCCTCCATTTCCTTTCGGACTTCCCTCACCTTGTGAAATGTGTGCGAAACATCATGATTAAGCATGGCTTCAACACACACAAGGGCCGAGTAAGCATGTGATTTTATTCTCATAATATTTTGAAATGTTGGGTCTAGAAGGTCTACGTGTGACGAGCCACTCTGCCAAGGACCTACTGAAGTACCTCATTGAAATGGTTGGGTTTAAGTTTTTGATGAACTCCCGTCACAGTCAAGACTGTTTGGAGCGTTCTTTTGGTATCGTCAGACAGGCCAGTGGAGCTTACGATCACCCAACTCCTGCGCAGTTCATTATCATAATCAAGTATGCTTGTGCATTTTCAGTCCTGTACATTGAAATACAAAGCATATAATCCAAAGTATCAATTTTTATAATTTACATGTATATATGCAGGTGCATAAGCTTTTATAGCTTGGCGATTACTAATCTTCTTTGTATATGTTCACTTGTGTGTTTCTACTTTTATGTATTGTCACCTTATATGTAAGGAAATACATATATTCTTTTATTCCATGTATGTATTACTGGCATTTAGAATATAATGGTTACAGTGTAGTTACCTACTGCTGTGATGATCGATATAACTGATGATATTATTGCTGTAGAAGAGTACCTAGTGTGAAGCATGCCGTTATCGCTTTCTTTTGCGCAGTATGTATATATATCATCTTTGTATTCCCACTCCTGCTTACAGCCTTTTTTAGGCTAGCAGTATTTTGCAAATAAATAAATAAATAAATAAAAGCCCCAAGGGAGCAAACGTATCTCCTGGACTTTTGGAGGCCCTGCTGTCCGAGGACCATCTGCTGTCTGAAAATGAAGCACCAGCTTGTGACGACGTTACACTACCTGTCGAAGCAGCACAGGTTGCGAATGACCACGCTGACTACGTTGAAGAACGCAGTGATGACCGCCTCACCTATTATATTGCAGGATATGTAGCCAGGAAGCGGATCTTGTCAACCCAATGCGAAGCTTGCAAGGATGCCTGCATCGTGACACGTGATAGTGTGACGGACCAATTGCCAGCAGAAGCGTGCAAAAAGTGGGACATGGGGGGCCTTCTTTACCCTTCTGTCCCTCTATATAGTCTAATCAAAACTCTTGATGATAGACTAACTTGTGCATTTAGCACTACGCGCTTGCACACCAAAGTAGTGAAGGATTTTTTTGCGCCTAGCAGCCAATGTGCCACAAATTGGCTGCAGTGAGCATTCAGCTTCTTTAACAACATCGGTTGTCAGGTTCTACAGCATTACACGTGTCCATTTTCTGCTGAAAGGACTAAACCAGCATGCTGTGCAGAATAAAGCCAAGAAGGTGAAGCCCTGTGTTATGTAACGTTTTAATGTACTGTTTCCAATAAACTTGTATCAAGTCACCAGTCTTGTACTTTATTGTATTCTTCTGCCGCACTGCATAAAAACTGCATTGACTTCCATTCTTTAAGGTACTATTGCAATCGAAAATATATAACAAATCTGCGAGCGACACACGCAGGGTTGTTGCCACCTGCTGGTCTGCGGGAGAGATTTCTCTAAACTATTTTTCGCGTGACAAGCGCACCCACCTCGCAAGAAGTGGCCGCGAAACCCACGCTCTGTATCGGCTGCGTGGTTTGCGCTTGTAGATTACACGTGCAAGTTTCTCGACCTCAACAACATAATTGAAAAGACTACAGTGGTAAAACTTAGCGCAGTCGAATCATTTACCCGCCCAGAAGCAAGTAGACGACGCGAGAAAAGCACATGGATGGATGAATGGATATGGCTGTACCCTTTAGATCGGGCGGCGGCTAGCGCCACCAAGCCGTAATACCTAATGAACCAAAAACTATATTTATTATTTTTTCTTTAAAAAGTGAGTTTGAGAATTTGTTCTTTGCAGTTAAGAGTTTAATTTTCACTCGTGCCTTGACTTTAGCCACCAATCACATAACCTCCTTTTAGTTAAGTCTACCCGCTTAAAGTTTATTTTGCCCTCCCGGTCCCTAAACCCCAGTGCTTTGAAAAACTCTGCGCCATCATCCTGAACTATAGGGTAAAGCCCTTTACAGAACATTATCAAGTGTTCGGCAGTTTCTTCTTCCTCTCCACACGCACTGCATACTGTGTCTACCCCTTCGTATTTGGCCCGATATATCTTGGTTCGCAGTACTCCCGTCCTGGCCTCAAACAGTAGAGAACTACCCCGAGTATTATCATAGATCCTTTCCTTGGCAATTTCCTGCTTAAAAGTTCGATATATCTCTAGTGCGGACTTCTTAATCATGCCCATTCTCCACATGTCAGTCTCCGTTTCCTTCACTTTCTTATTAACCGATAGTTCTTTTTGGTTTGGCCCCCTGCTGTTTTCTAAGTATTTACCAGTCAACTTCCTGGTTCGCTTCCTCCATTTTGTATCGACATTCTTCATGTACAAGTAGCTGAAAACCTTCCTAGCCCAACGCTCTTCCCCCATTTCTCTCAATCGCTTCTCAAATTTTATCTTGCTGCTAGCTTCCCTGCCCTCAAATGATGTCCATACCATATCACCTTGTACTCCCTGATTTGGTGTATTCCCGTGAGCTCCTAAAGCAAGCCTACCTATTCCACGTTGCTTAATTTCTAATCTTGCTTGAACTTCTGATCTCATGCACAAGACTGCATTGCTGAACGTCAGCCCAGGAACCATGACCCCTTTCCATATTTCTCTCACAACATCATACCTATTGTAATTCCACAGTGCCCTATTTTTTATGACTGCTGCATTCCTGTTACCTTTACTCGTCACGTATATTTCGTGTTCCCTCAGATACTCGGTCCCATTGCTTATCCATACGCCCAGATATTTGTATTTATCTGTTATCTCTAGCGTGACCTCCTGTATTCTAAGCTCACTACCTTCTCTGTCATTGAAAATCATGACTGCTGATTTTTCCTTACTGAATCTAAAATCTAACCTATCTCCCTCATTACCGCAGATGTCCATCAATCTGCAAATCTTCCTTGTTGTTGGCCATTATCACTATATCATCTGCGTACATTAATGCTGGTAGTGCCTGATCAATAAGTTTTCCTTGTTTGACTAAAGAGAGGTTGAAGCCCAGTCCACTTCCCTCTAATTTTGCCTCTAATCCTTGTAGGTACATCATGAATAATAAGGGTGACAGGGTGCACCCCTGCCTAAGCCCCCGTTTTACCTCTGCAGGCTTGGATACCTGTTTTTTCCCACTTTACAACTACCTTGTTACCTTTATAGATACCCTTTAAAAGATTAGTGACTACATGTTCCACGCCTAGTGTGTCCAGTATTCCCCACAATTCCTCTTGAATCACGCTATCGTACGCTCCCTTGATATCCAAAAATGCTAGCCACAGGGACCTGTGTTCCTTTTCTGCTATTTCGATGCACTGCGTCAGTGAGAACAGATTGTCTTCCAACCTCCTGTGTTTCCGAAACCCATTCTGCAGTTCCCCCAGCACCCCCTCATCCTCTATCCACGTCTGCAGTCTTTCCTTTATAATCTGCATCGCCAGCCTGTAGACCACTGATGTCACTGTTATAGGACGGTAGTTGTTTATGTCAGCTTTGTCCCCCTTTTCCTTTATAGATCATGCTCATCCTGCTAAGTTTCCATCCATCGGGAACTTCACCATCGATTATTATTGTGCTCACTGCTTCTCTCAAAGCCTGCTTAGACTTCGGACCCTAATGTCTTATCAGCCTAATTGGAATGCCATCTGGGCCTGTTGATGTACTACTAGGAACCCTTTTCTCAGCCCTTTCCCACTCTCGTTGTGAAAATGGAGCCATTGCACCACTTGATTCGTCCTTGTCTATTGTGATTCGCTCGCAGGATTTCAAGCTGGACGGTTGTGCCCTCGCGATCTCCGACTTCAGCGTAGCTCCCGCCGACTGGTTCGCCCTCCGCGGTCTCCTGAAGCCGTGCAGCTCTCGCATTGTGGCACCCCGCCCTTGGACTGCTTCGACCGGATCCCCACTTTCCTATCTCCTTTTTTTTTTCTCTCGTTGGCTGTCTTCTTCTCCTTCTATTTTCCTTCTATTCTTTTTATCCCTCCTTCCCCCCACCCCTATAAGGCACTGCGCCGTGTCGCCTGAAGGCAGACATAAATTAGGTGCCTTTTTCCTCTTCATTGTAACCACTACCACCACCACCTATTGTGGTGCATAAAGTGCTTCTTTGTTGAAATTTTTCTGTCACCCTTGTTCCTATATATTCAATAGCTTCGTCTCATTCTAGCCTAGCACCTTGGGCTGTAGTTATAAAACTCTGCTCTAGGCTCGTCTCATTTGTTAGGGAGTTTAGATGGTTCCAAACAGCGCCCCCATCGGCAGCGCCACCGCGCGGCAGGAACGCGCCTTTGGGCCAGCCTCCGGAGGCCGGTCATCACACCTCCCCATTCTAGCGACCCTATCTACGTTTATTGGTTATTTGTGTTTTTGTTTGAGTTGCAAGCCTGAGCAAGCGCACTGTAGCCAGCGTTTGTCTCACGCTGTCACGAGTGCCGATGCCCGTCGTCACCAAATTCAAAACTTCGTACCGTTACTGTGTACTCTCTAGTACAAAGGACTTCAAGTACAAAGGCTGGACAACACGGTAGTTGCAGAGTGGCTCACTGCAGTTGTAGCCTAATGCGTTTCCGACCTAAAGTTTCCTTTATTCTACGCTTTTGACAAGCGTGCTTCTGACTGCGCGTGGCGATACGATCGTCCTGAACACGATGGTGTCGGCTGTGCTTCAGTGGTTGCCGGCTGTTGCCCTGTTACACGTCGTCTCGGGCGACGCGACATCGCCGACGGTCCTGCGCGAAGGCCATCTATACCTGGCCCGATCGTACAACAGCCGGAATGGGCTGGCCGTATTCTGCTACCCGGGCGAACCGGCTGGCTACCTGTCGCTCTTCAAGTCTGTCTATGTCGAGTTCAAGCTGGTGCCCGAAAGCTACACGCTCTTCGAGGGTCCCGACGAGGCGTCGGTGCGGTCGCAGTTCGAAGCGCACGTCGCCAGCTGGGTCCCGCTGCTTCCATGGAGACGCTCCACCATCTGGCTGTCGGCTTTCCGGCAGCACTGCATCGGCGTCTCGTCCGAGGACGACTACCGGTTCGAGCTGGTGGTACGCGAGGCCAACTACTGGCGCCTGCTGCAGTTCATCGCCTCGGTGCTGATGTTCTTCGGCGTGCCTTCGCTCTGCCGCAACGTGCTCGTGTTCTACGCGTGCGGCGTCGCCGTCGGCGTGATGGCCTCGTTACTCGTCGTCGTGTTCGTCGTGGGTCGTCTGTTGCCGCGTCGCTCGGCGTTCTACACGGTCCTCTGCTTCGGCTGGTCGCTGGTGCTCTACTTGCTGCAACTGATGTGGTCCAACGTCTACCAGGTAACGTGTGTGCTCGCAAATGTGACGGGTTGCGGGTGATCCTTCGAGAAAACTTCGTTATAAGGGCAAACAGCGTTGTTTGGTTGTTTGCTCTTCAGTCCAGGTGGCCGTCTTCCTTGCCATGGTTGAACCTAGGTTGAAACCCACTTTTTCTAGCGTGAAACGGACGAAGATAAAAAGATCGAGACAAAATAAGACAGAGACAATATAATAATAAGATCAGGGGTTGTGCATCCCAAAAGCATGAGAGACAGAGTTTGAGGGACGCCGTAGTGGGGGGATCTGAATATTTTAACCGTCTAGTGTTCTTTAAAGGAGACCCGACAGCATAACTTTTGTATGGCACTTTTTTGCAGTAATTTTGCGTTTTTTTCTGGTAATGTCAAAACTGAATCGTAAATGCTCTAATGCGTCACGCAATTAATGTTAGCATCGGTGAGGTCGCTCCTGAGACAATGTGCGCTCAAGATTTGGCGACGCAGAACAAGCAATTTTGAAATAGGGGAACCCATTGATGGTGAACAATGAAATGATGTGTGCGCTTTGAGCATGTCCCCCTCAGAAAAACGAAAAGCATTCCTCTTGTAAGCAGCCAAAATCACCTTGAGAGACAAGAGAGCAAGAACGGTGACAAACAACAGTCCTCGCCAGAAACCAGTTGAGGTATTGTGCACGTCTCGCAGATGTTCTCTCACGTCATCAATACTTGCTTGACCCTGCAAGGTCACGCGAAGGCCCCTGTCTACGTCAAACCACAGAAATTGATTAGACCTGAATACTTGGATGAGCACATACTCTTTCTTTAAAGCAAATTAAAATATCTTACAGACAATGATTGTCAATAATAAACCCTGGGGTATGCCGGACTCTCAAACAACACAAGCATGTTGAGTTTCCGAAGTTGGTGTCAGGGGTCCGTTCCTCAGTAAGTACACGGGCCTGCTATCATTTAGTTTCCACTGAAATGCCACTGCCGCAGCCAAGATTGAAACTGCAGCTTTCGGGTCAGCAGCCGGGCACCTCAACCACTGATTTACTGTGGCAGACAAGCACTGTCTGTAGTTTACTGTGCCTGTCTTTCTGTCCTTGTCTGTTTCGCTCTGAAAACTGGTTGAAGGTCATAAAACAACTCAGAGACATTGCTTTATCACTACTCCGGTGTAAGGTGACATGTTAGAGTACTCAAGCCGTGTGATTATGGGGTCTTTGATTTGTGGCACAGTTTTCAGTTTTATCCATAATGTGTACTTAGAATGGGCTTTCGGCATTTCGAAAAGGGGCAAAGAAAGAGATCGGTACCAAGATTGGAACTGGTGGACAAGATGCGAATACAGTGGAGTGCCAAGCTAACATTGCAACCATTCTATTCACTTATGCCATGTGAAGCACGTGAACGAACTGGGTAGACAACCTGGCAATGTTTCTTGTGAGCTCTTTGAATCACTGTGCCATGCTCGTTATAAGTTGTCATTACACGACAAGCATATGCTAACCACAAAAAGGGAAGTCACCGCTTTGACTCCATATAGGGCACAATGTTCTCCATACTTCCTACCGACATCCTTGCTTTCAGCTGGAGGAAAGGAAAACACACACTTAGAATGACACGAAGTTGGGCGGCTGGCAGCCATTCATTGTGGATCCTCGTCTGCACATTCTTGGAAATTCTCACAGCTCATTCAAACACTGTCGATTGAGAGAGGTCACGTGACTTACTCCAACAGGCAGGCAAGTAGCAACATGATGCGGCTTATGGGCACAAGTGCCACGATCTGCCTGTCGCGACATTTAAAAGCCTCATGATTAGCATTATCGACACCTCAGTGTGTTGCTGTTGTCACTTAAAGGTGGATAGAATGGTTTGGAGTTACGTCGCCTACTTCGTGCACTTGCGGCGTTTGCCACCATCTCAGTGGTCCGTTGTGGCACAGGTGTTCTCTGGCGGAGCGCTTTATTGGTTCTGTTGAAATGGCAAGCGGTGACGAGAGACTGTGCGTGACAGTGTGCACCTTCTGCAGTGTGTGCGGATAGAATGCGACTCAATGCCTACATGGATACAACCAAGATGGATATGCTGTCGTTCTAATGCTGGTGCCACATCGGAGCAACCCTCCTATCGACATCAACTTTGAAACCAAGTTTACTCCATTATAAAGATGCTGCTCTGAGCTAGTGTGAAACTGGGCAAATTTCAAGAAATTTTATTTTTGTGTTGAGCTCAATTTTCACATGGTACTGGTACTGACATCGACATTAGCGTGGTCTGGCTACAGTGTCAATTGTGCTGACTTTATGCACCAGGGGCACGATGTTGTACACATATGATAGAACGAAACGTCATCGTTAAACCAGAGGGAACCAATAGGCAAAGCGCAAGCACCCCGGAAGAAAGAGTCACGTTTTGATTGTTTGCCAAGGGAAATCATAAATGTTTTCAACACATTAAAAAGTAGAGAATTATTATGACTGAATATTGCCGCATTGAATATGCGGCACCAAGAGAACAATGAAGAGCACACGCAGCGGGGGAGAAAGACGAGGTTCTCACTTGATCAGTTTGCCAGTGTTCTGGTATAATTAAAGTGAGTTGTCTTGTATTCAAGTGCTGCTGTTTCTGCATTGTGACACTGGTGGATGTGCTGGGTACATGTTCGGGACACCTGACAACAGCCTCGCATCTAGTCCAGAAAGACTTCCATGCATCGACACCCTTGTTCACCGCAGCCACCGCCGCCTGTTAGGCCTCAGCCCGAAGTTCGGTCCATTGCCGGAAAGCGCGACCGTGCCAGAAAGCATGACGGCACCTGGAAGCACTGGCCCCAACATGTCCAGCCCAAGCAGGACACAGGTGACTGTTTTGAACTCTCGACTTCTGCTTGACTTCCATGGAAACACATATGAGGACGCACATGACTGGTTCGAGGGATTCGAGCACACATCGAACGTTAATGGGTTGAACGCCACACAGAAATTGGGCTACGTGTATTTTCCGCTTCAAGACTGAGCCCGAACTTGGTCTACAAATCGCGTGTGGTCGTCTTGGGACAAGTTCCAGCAAAAGTTCCTCGACACGTTCGCGAGCACCGAAAGACAAGAAATCGCACAGCGTCTCCTCGAGTCACGGACTCAGAAACTAAATGAATCCGTTACGATGTTTGTCGAGGACATGGCACGGCTGTTTTGTTGAGAAGATCCCAATATGCCCGAAGCCGAAAAAGTTAGCCACCTCATGCGTGGCGTTAAAGAGCAGCTGTTCGCTGGTCTCGTGTGAAATACGCCTACAAGTGTTGATGAATTCTTTAAGGAGGCGACATCCATTGAACACGCACTGCATCTGTGCTACCGGCAGTATGACTGCCCAATCCACAGTGCACCAATCAGAGCGGCAACCACGACCACAGCAACGACACCCTACAAAGGTTCATTGCACCAACTGATACGAGAAATCGTGCAAGAAGAGGTCAAGAAGCTCATCGCGAAACTCAATGACTGCGCGATTGCCTCAGTAACAGAAGTTGTGCATCAGGAGATCAGGCAAGCGCTCTCGCTTCTTGAGCTGAACACGAGCACACCCAGGGTGCTTGTGTTCGCAGACATAGTCGTGCTATGCAGACATAGTTCGCTGACAGCCAGATAATGTACCGACACCACATCAGTACCATCAGCAACATCCGCCGACAGCACCTTGGTACTACAGAGAAACTTCGACGCCGAGGCGGCCACCACTTCGCAAAACTGACATTTGGTGTACCCCTGACCATAGGCCCCTGTGCTTTCATTGTGGGGAAGCAGGCCACATCGTTCAGTATTGCCCGTATCGCATCACAGGGTACGAAGGATTTCTTTCCACTATTCCTCGGCGCCATTTCAACGAAACGCCGGACGTAGACACTGGTGTCATAACCCCGTGGGATGTTCCTGGGTTTCGGTAGTGCTCACCCTCTCCTGGGTGTTGTTCTCTATCTCCTAAATGGAGCACTACTGACATGCCGAGGAACAGATTTCCCAGTCCACGCCGGGGAAACTAAAAGCAGCGACCTCATGGGGGAAGGTTGCGAATCGTCAAAGTGCTAAAAATCCCCCAGTACTGCCGAGGGAAGAGACTGTAATTTTCAATGATTTGATGAAATATGGGGTTGTTACTGCTAAAGTTGCAATTACGATTGACGGACATGACGTCACGGCATTGGTAGACACTGGCGCGGTCTTATCGATAATGAGAGTCTGGCAGACAAGCTCAGGAAGGTTAGAATGGAATGGACGGGACCACAGATTAGAGGAGCTGGAGGGCCGCTACTTACACTTACTACAAAGTGCACCGCAAGAATGAAGATAGGGGATGCATCCTTCGTCGCTACTTTCATTATTCTGTCCGAGTGTTGCAAACAGGCAATCTTAGGGATGGATTTCTTGCGTGAATATGGTGCCATCATCAATATACCGGACGGTGTACTGACCTTTTTAGCGAATCAAAGCGCAGCACTACACCGAAAATCCCTGCACATCATTGACGACATGACCGTACTTCCATTATCGTGCCGCCTTGTTTCGGTCACGTGCAGCGCGCAGCATACAAGAGAAGGAATTGCTGAACAAGAATTGGCGCTTTTATTCTCTCGCGGTGTTGCAATTGCCAGAAGTATCGTCAATGTTGTGTGTGGTGAAGCGGAGGTTTTGTTGACGAATTTTACCAACGAGCGATGACTCATTATACAAGGCTCTACAGTTGCCTACTTTGACGAGATCACTGAAATCTGCGAGTGCTGTGTAGTGCAACAGGACGAACTGAAAGCCACGTCAGCCCCACCATCTATTGACGTAAGCACGGATTTATCACCAGCGCGAAGACGGCGTCTAGTAGATCTTCTTCACCAGTTCAAAGACTGTTTTTTATCGACCTCGACGGTCAGTCAAACGCCACTGACGAAGCATCGGATAATAACGGAAGAGACGGCAAGGCCAATACCTCAGAACCCATACCACGTAGCACCGAAAGAGCG